TACATTATTCTTCTCGTCCAACCACATATTCAATAACGTAACTGGTGCTGTAATGAATAATATTTCATCACCAGTTAAACCAGTTATGTTATATTTCACTTTACACCACAGGTTATACGAAAAGTGAGAAGTTTCAATATTTCCGTAGTTTTGAAAAGTTCCACATCACATGTCAAATTAAATAAAAAAGAATTTCGAGCCAAACTCAATATTTCCAAGGGATATTCTGAAACAGGTTGATTTTCATTCTCAATTTCCACATTTATAATAGACAATTTCTCGAATGGAACATCCTATCAACTATTGAATTCTCGAAATCTTCATGGAAAGCTGAATTCAGGGTGTTCCATTGAAAAATAAAACACAAAGCTATTAGCCTACCCGAAACTACCCGAATAAACGAATGACACTGTATATAAAACAACTACACAAAATAAAAGTTTGGGTGGTTTCAAACAACTTTTTCATTTAACATTCCTCAATATTCCCATAAAAACAACATAATGACCTCTTTATACTGAACTTTCCTTGAATAAAGTACCATTCCTATTTCACATTCTTGGGGGAATTTAAGACTAAGAAAATTGTTTGAAATGATGACTTAATAAAAACAAATTATCATAGGGATTTCCTTTCGTGCGCTTCAAGCGTTGAAAAATATGTTCCATCAATAACTAATCCAAGTGCTTCGTAAATTTTTCATTTTATAAGGATGCTTGCCAAAAATTCGACTGATGACGTCACAATGTGTCCATGATGATTGCAGACAAAAAGGTTCCTGCATGATCCGCCATTTTAAAAACATTTGAAAGGTATTTTTTCGCTCTATCGACTTACGTAAAATTATTTATACAGAGTGCCATTTGAATTTCAGTAAAATTTTGGGGCAAATCCTCTGTACTTGTACAGTGTGCAACATATGGAAATTTTTTTGATGAATTGCACAACCAAAATACAGATAGTGTCAAAGGTTGGTGCATGTTCGGTAATCATTTGAGGTGCACTTAGAATCGTCGCGAGTCAAACAGCATACAGGGTTGGTCAAAAAATATAAAAAATGCTCAGGAGTAAAGTACCCTTATTTCAGAAAATTCAGCAAACTGTTATGGAAAAAAGTTCTTTACAATTGAAAGTTTCTCCTGAATTTGTTCCATTGATAACTTCCCAATTTGTATTTTTTTTATATTCATCCTAAACACTTTCATAATTTGATCATAACAAAATCAGTTGATCATACTTTTGTTGAAATTAATGCACTTTTGTGCAATCAACTTGGATTTTATTTTTTTAGGGAATCACAAACTTGATGTTTGTTGCAACGATATACAGCTTAATTTTGAGATTTCGCAAACCATATTTTCAACAAGGTAAAACATCATTAGATAAGGAGTATGTCACCAAACTGCCTCAATATTTACTGTCAACCCTCATTTGTTCTGTTCCTTGGGTGTCCGTGATTTTTCAAAAGATATCATGGTTGTCGATCAATCTGTTCAGCTTTTTCATAAACATTTCAAATACAAAATGTTCACATTAAATGAAGGTTTTTGAATATGCATATTATCATTAATGATGTTTTACCTTGTTGAAAATAGGGTTCGCAAAATTTCAAAGTTGAGCTGAATATCGTTGCAACAAACATGAAGTTTGTGATTTCCTAAAAAAATTGAAATCCAAGTTGAATGCAAAAATATGCTTGAATTTGAAAAAAAAATGGGAATTTATTAACGAAAGGAATTGAAAAACTGAAGAATGTCTTAGGAAGCCATGTTCTGGTATTTAGGAATGAATTTTAATTGTGAACAACTTTTCTCAATAACTTTCTGCTGAATTTTTTGAAATACGGGTACTTTACTCCTGAGCACTTTTTATATCTTTTTACCTACCCTGTATGCTGTTTGACTTGCAACTATTCTGAGTGCACCTGAAATGATGATCGAACATGCACCAACTCTTGGCACTATCTGTATTTTGGTTGTGCAATTCATTAAGAAGATTCCCATATGTTGCACACTTAAATGACCACACTGTATATTGAAATTATGCTCATATTATTATTTTGTAGAAGCGAGGAGGGAAAATCCCAAATAATCAAGTGAAATGTATGTAACACCTCCTCGATCAACCAACAGGCGGTATTTCGAGCCGCCATTGCTTGAGATTTGACATTTCATGGAAGATGAATGAAGTCATTATGATCCGAAACGCAAATGGAATTGATCACATACAAAGTACCTCATTGATCACATACAAAGTACCCCATTGACGAACGGAACATTTTGGTATATAAACGAATTGGGTCCAATCAACTTATTTTGACCTCTACTTCAAGTAGAGCAATTTTGGGACACCCTATATATAATCTATTACTGAAGTCATGTAAGGGATCTAAGCACAATTGACAATAAGAAATCACTAGATTCGAAAACTCTCGGGGAGTAGGTTTCCCGAAACGAAATAGCGATATACAAATGCTACAAGTTCTTTATTTATATTATCTACTATTTAATTGGAGAATCAAATTGAAAGGTATATACACTCTGATCCGAATCTTAGACCATTGGACTATAGAAAAGTTTGAAAGTTTGATGTTTTTCTCCAATATTTATATGTTCAGAAATGGACATACAATGATTCCATTTCTGCCTTATAGAATCTCCGAGAATAGATTCACCTATTATACATAGAAAACATAGTTATATTCACATGTCTGATGTTTTGTTATATAATTTTTCAACAAAAAGAATGATATATACTTCTTTATCTTGATACAATCAAATTATCATGTCAATATCTTCCTGATTCGAATCAAACAGATTATCAAACACAAATACTACAATGTACAAACCTTTCTCAGCCCTCTAGAATTCTTCATAAAACAGTTTGAATCAGATTTGAGTAGGTATAGCAAGGAATTTCTATCGATTCAACTTGGCAACAATGCGCTACCGCTTGTTCCGAGTCTCCACGCGTCTCACACATTCTGGTTTATTGACGGTCTGTCGATGTACGGTTCTGATGTTTTACGGGTCTGTCAATGTACGGTTCTGCCATTTTACGGTTCTGCTATTTCACGGGTCTTAATCCAAAAAATTCTGAAAATTTACGGGTTTGGTAGCTGCACGATTCTGCCATTGTACGAGTCTGTCATTTTACGATTCTGCTGTTTTACGGGTCTGTCGTTTTACGGTTTTGATGAATTATGGATCGGAAATTCCGGTAGTCCGATGGATTATGAGTCTGTCGATGTACGGTTCTTGCATTTTACGGATCTAGAGTATTGGCAGTCTGTGCTTTTACGAGTCTGTCATTGTACGGATCTTTCATCTTACGGGTATCAAAAATCGACAGTCTGTCTTTTTACGGGTATGAACTTTTCGCATTCTGCCATTTTCAGATTCTGTATATCACAATTCTGCCAGTTTGCTGGTCGGGAATGTTCATTCTGATGAAATGGTGGTCTACAGAGTACGGGTCGCTGAATTACAGTCTGTGCTTTTACGGTTCTATGACTTTACGATTATATATTTTTATGATTCTGACGACATGAAGAGTATTTTATTTACTGGTTTGGCAAAGTACACTTCTGAATATATGGCAGTCTTTCGATATACTATTGTGATTTATGCATTCTGACATAATGCAGTCTGTCAAAGTACGGTTCGACAAATTACGGGTTGTACATATTGCAGTCGCTGAAATATGGTTCTGATGATTTGCTTTTCTGATTTCTTACTATTCTAGTCAAATAAATTCCTACTAATCGACGGTCTGTGTCGATACGTTCTGATGATGTATATGGACCCCACGCGGTGTATGTTTGGTTGCCTATTAAACAATCGTGCATTAATAGACAAATCGTTCATTAATGGGGGTCATTAATGAACGATTTCATATACATTAAACTTAGTCGTTAATACGAGGTCGACGGAAATAGTTATTTAACCAACTAGTGTATTAATGAGGGCGATTAATAATCGAGATATTTTAACGTGCGAGCGAAGCGAGCGCGTTATTGTTTAAGATCATTAATCGCCTTTTGATATACAAGTTGGTTACAAAATTTTTTTGTCGACTATATTTCTTATTTCTCCTGTAATGAAGAAAACTTGGTTCACGAATTCATCATTCATTCGGAAACTGCTAAGAATCACCCATTAGCCTTGTTACTGACATTAGTGACATTTGACATTCGTCGAAATGATCAACATAGAAAATAAATTCCTTGTGTTAGAAAACAGGGATTAAATTCGTGTCAGAAACTTGGAAAGGCGAACCCGTTAACGGAAAATCGTCGATGAAATCCATATTTTCGATTTAAATGCAGATTCCGCTAGTTATAGCATAAACAATGAATGCACGCGGTGTATGTTTGGTTGCCTATAAAACAATCGTGCATTAATAGACAAATTGATCATTAATAGGGGTCATTAATGAACGATTTCGTGAACATTAAACTTACTCGTTTATACGAGGTCGACGGAAAAATAATTTTTTCAAGTATTCTTCTTAATAACTAGTATTTCTTCATCAAATAAAAGTCCGCACCGTTGAATCATTTTTTATGACCTTGACTTGCTACTGACGCATCCCGTTTCGAAGGCTGACGGCACCCTGACGGTAACCACGTCATTTTTCAGTGGTTAATTCACTATGCAGAAACCAATGTTTAGATTTGGGAAAACTGTTGCTATATACATAGTTTTTTAACAACTTCAAAGCCGCCCTTGCGCTAATCACTAACGGCTGACTGACGACTCATTTTTAATCTGTTTACCAATTTGGATGTATTTAATTCTAATTTGAAATTGATAGGTCTCAATTTGAACTTGAAGAGGTATAGTGTGTACTTGAGATCCCGTTTTTGAATTGACAGAGAGTTGATGTTCACCACATCTATATTTTGCTCTGGGCTCACATTTTTTCCTGCGGTCAACTTTCAGAAGCCATATTATATATACATGAGCCTCGCTGGAAGATTATTGAATTGATTGTTGCAGATTATCTTGACCCCTTCCTGCGCGAAAGTTGGGGTAATGCTAGTGACCTGATGGGGTTCAGATCTGTTCTGAAACTCACTCCTTCCCATCCTAGGAATCCCAATTATAAGTGAGTAGTGATTGTTCGATTGGTGTGATTTCATTCAATTATTAGATGAACGGTTGTTACTGAAGAGACCTGGAGGACAGAAACTGCTCTGTCTCGCTCTTACTTGTAAAGTTTCCAACAATGAGATTGTTAACCGAGTTTTGACTGCTTCACCATTCTGAATACGTTTGATTCATGATGATGATTTTTTATTCCAGATACATTTGTGAGAAGATAAAAACAACATCTGCGAAACCTCCATTTTGTGTTCCCTATCATCATAAGATATTCGACAGCATATCTGTGAGTATTTAAACCAATGAGGATGTGTACAACAGTACGACTCGAAATGTGAATGTAAGTTTGTTTGTCGGGCTTTCCCGCCAAAGCAGCTCACAGGATTATCATGAAATTTTGTATACATTTATTAAGATAAATTAGACAGGACAAAGGATACTTTTTATCGAACAAAAATTATTTTTTAACGGAGCCAACAAAAAATCCGGAAATAATTCCGTACTTTACCTACTTTCTTTTTTATTCGATGTGATTAATTGAGGAAAAATACTATGGAGGCATTTACTGTTGGCTAGATATTTTCTGTACTGCTATATACTATACAGGGGCTTCCTGCATGAGGTGAGGGGGAAAAGGTAATGAGGAATCAATATGGCGGACGAGTTCTATAATAATGATCCGATTCTATTCAACATTGTTATTGGGGGGTTTTCGGGGTCTGAGATTATGATTCTCTCGTCAAAATCAGGGAATTCAAGATGAGGGATCCAATATGGCGAAAGAGTTCTGTAATTTAGTTTCGATTTTATTCAGAATTGTTATATGATGGTTTTAGAGGCCAAAAGATTATGATTCTATCATCAAAATTTGGAAGTTCAACTAGTTCAAGATGGCGAAACCAATATGGTGGACGAGTTTTGTGATTATGATCCGACAATTCAAAACTGGTATATGTGGGATTTCGGGGTCGTAGATTGTGGTTGTGTACAGCAGTACGACTCGAAATGTGAATGTAGGTTTGTTTGTCGGGCTTTCACGCCTGTTAGAGTTCGTCATGTTATCTTTGATTGATTCAATTCAAGGAAAACAATTGATCACTATGTATATCATGGTTACGATCATAGTGGAAGGAGAAGATGGTGTGCCCACGCGCATATTATGTGACGTCATCTGGGATACCAAATCAGCTGCTAGTCACAGACATGGTGAAAATATTTTCACCATGTCACAGACAGATGCCGTTGCCGTGGGTCTATGAGTTTTTCGATCTGTTTAGAAATAATTCGATTTATATGAACCGGTATACCCATTCCTCCGATTTAACTATTTCATTGATTCTGGAAATTGTGATCTTGAGGTAATTCGCTATAGCAAATAGCAAATACATACGAATTACCATGCATTCCCAAACCCATCTGAATGATCCACTACTGTGTCGATTCTGACGTGATTCTGACAGATTAAAATTGAGCAGTTAACGACGTTGACGTTGCTTCTGCTCCGACATCGACAACAGGAGTATCAATTTTTGCCGTTTTGTTATTCAAATCTTTGCTGCATAATATATTTTGTGGGAAATTAAGAGTTTTGAATTCATTTCCAATTATTTTTGACTTGATATTCGACGGAAGATGTTCAGTAGGAATGGCATCTTGTTTCAAATATTCGTGATTTTTTGGAGGTGTAAGTCAAGAACAGAACTTTCGCAGTTGGAACATTTTGCATGGAAATGTTTTGAAGAAATACGTGCTGTAATATGAATGTGATGATATTATGATAGGTGAATACTTTGGAATGAGGATATAGGGAATATAAGGTAGGTACCATTATTTGAGTTTATATTCTGTCGGTAGCAAGCTCCTATCGTTTCATTAGGTCGCCATTCTTGGAAAAGCAGAAAAATTCAATATCTGTGCCTTTTGTATGTTAGTTGTTGGAATTTCCATAACTAGAAACGAAACAAGTGGGGATTTCGAAATTATTTCATTCAATTTTAGTACTTATATAATAATATCTGAAGTTCGAGACATCAATCATGAAAACAAATAATAACAATGACAGTTATATCCCAGCTGACGTCATGCGCAGAACAAGACGAGTTTGAGCTTTCTGTTGAGCACACCATCTTCTCCTTCCACTATGGTTACGATATTTTCTTGAGTGATTTGTCATGTTATGAATTTATATTATTAAAAAGTCATTGAAAACTCCATATTTTAGTCCTTTTGATATCGAATAACTACCAGGTAGGTGTTGTTCGTACATTTTGTGGCGACCGTGACAGGACTACTTGAAGAAATGGAGAAGATACTGAGACTTAGAGAGATTTATAGGATATCGTTTGAACGAGTTTATGAAGCTATAATTATAGAATTGCAATCACCGGATCCCGATTTCAGTATGATTCAAGGGTATTTTCGTCTTCTTGTTCAGAAGATGGAGTCGATTGCAGATTTCGATAAACAAGTTCTCGATTTGTAGCTAGACGAAGATTCCATCGAAGAAAACATCGACCTTGAAGTTGGAAAAGCTGATGAATTAATGAGCAAGTACAACACTCTGAAGTTCAGAGTAGAACGACGTATGAGCAAGGACTGCTTTGTCGATAATCCTAGTGCCGCTCCATGTGTCTCGAGTCATACCAGTCATTTGAGGTCAGTTTTGAAGCTTCCTAAAATAGAATTCACCAAATTTGGTGGAGATATCAAGGATTGGCTGCTGTTTTGGAGCCAATTCAAGAGGATTAATGACGATGAGAGTTTGGAAAACGAAGACAAATTTCAATATTTGATACAGGCCACCATACCGAAATCTCGTGCTTACCAGCTGGTGAAGAGTTATCCTCCCATTGCGGAGAACTACCCTAAGGTAATCGATAGTTTGAAGTCTCGTTTTGGCAAAGATGAACTCCTGGCGGAGTTTTATGTTCGAGAGCTTTTGAAATTGGTGTTGAACAATTTGAATACGAAAGTTTCTCTCAGTACCCTTTTCGATAGGGTTGAATCACAACTGCGAGCTCTGGAAACACTTGGCGTTACATCTGAAAAATATGCAGCAATGTTGTTTCTATTAGTAGAATCCTGTTTGCCCGAAGATGTTCTCAGAGTTTGGCAGCGAAGTACAACTGATCATTCCGATTTATCTTCAGAAGGCATCTCGAATTCAGCTGATTCAAATACAAATTGTCGACTGAAGAAGCTGATGGAGTTTCTAAGAAGAGAAGTGGAGAACGAGGAGAGAATTTCTTTAGCAGTCTCCGGGTTTGACAATAAACCCAAGAAGAAGGAATTACCGAAAGAAGAATCCATCCCTACAGCATCTGCATTATTGAATTATAAGCAGCAGTCGGTGAAATGTATTTTCTGCAGAGAAAATCACCCGAACAATGAATGCAGTAGGGCTGATAGAATGAAAATACCAGAAATTAGGAAAATTTTGTCGGACAAAGGATGCTGTCATATTTGTATGAAATTCGGACACATTGCACGCAGGTGTAGAGTCAAAATTGAGTGTTCCGATTGCAAGAAACGGCATGCCACAATGTTGTGTCCCGGAAAAGATTCCATTCCTTCTGAGAAACATTTGTCTGTCAAAGAAAATCCAATTGTCGAAAATCTATCTAATCAGACACATGATGAAGTTTTCCTCCAAACCCTCCTCGTTGAACTTTATAATGATGGATATTCTCGTCAAGTGAGAGTTTTGATAGACACTGGCAGTCAACGTTCATATATAAATACATTCTCCGCATCGGAAATGGGATACGAAAAAATATCCGAAGAAACCATGACTCATGGACTTTTTGGAGGTTCCGAATCAGAAGTAGTGAAGCATAATTGCTACATGATCAGCCTGAGAAATCTGAACCAAGAATATGCATGTAACTTCCGAGCACTCGACCAGTCAGTAATTTGTAGCAATGTTATTTTTGTCAAAGATGGGACCTGGATGCGAGAGCTGCAAGATATGGATGTGAATATTTCCGATATCAAAGATGGTCCAGTTGAAGTGCTTATTGGTGCTGATGTGGCCGGAAAACTGTTCACTGGTAGACATCATCGACTGAAAGGCGATTTAGTTGCAATGGAGACGCTTCTTGGATGGACTCTGATGGGAAAGGTTCCAGTTCCTTATTCTGATGGTTTCTCTTCCACTTCTATGATAGTGACTTCATTCTTATGCAAATCCCACGATATTTCCGATTTATGGAAACTTGACGTACTCGGGATATCGGATCCAATTGAGAAGAAATCCAGAAGGGAAGCAGAAGAGTCAGTGATGAATCATTTCCAGGAGACAGTGTCTGTGAATCAAGAAGGAAGGTATGAAGTAGTCCTACCTTGGATAGAGGGTCACCCCCCTTTACCAACTAATTTTGATATCGCCATGAGAAGATTGGATAATCTGATGCTGAAATTAAAAGATGATGGATATTATGCAGAGTACAACAAAGTTTTATCTGAATGGTTGGCTGATGGCGTAATTGAACATGTTCCTGAGAATGAGGTGTGTTATGAAGGCCACTATTTGCCACATCGACACGTTGTGAAGCTGAATAGTGCCACGACAAAACTCCGACCTGTTTTTGATGCATCAGCGAGAATCAAGAATCACCCGTCTATAAATCAATGTTTAGAAAAAGGAATCAATCTGATAGAGCTGATCCCTTCTATATTGATTCGATTCAGGTTATATAAAATTGGTGTGATATCAGATATCAAGAAAGCATTTCTCCAGTTTGTCCACCCGATAGAGACTTCCTGCGTTTTCTGTGGTATGATGAAGATGGACAGCTTATCTACTATAGACATACCAGAGTTGTGTTTGGTGTGACATGTAGTCCTTTTCACCTCGGAGCAGTGATCCAAAATCATCTAGCTAGGGCCCTGAATGGAGCGCACTCAGAAAAGTCTCGTTACTCTGTGACAGTTATTTCGAGATTGTCAAAAAGTTTTTACGTGGACAATTGTGTTATTAGTCTCGACTCTCAAGAGGAACTCCAAACATTCATGAAACAGTCACGAGATATTATGATTGAAGGGAAATTCGATTTGCGTGGATGGGAGTGGACAATAACAGATAGAGAAGAACCTTGTGACACGTTCGTGTCACATCTTTTGGGGCTGAAATGGAATAGACTACAAGACACACTCGAGCTTAGTTTCGAGTGGTTTCAAGATATTCTATTGGAGAAAATTACAAAGCGATTAATGCTATCAGTAGCCAACAAGATTTTCGATCCAATCGGATTTTCTTGTCCCGTATCATTGATTCCGAAAATCCTT